ACACACTGTTGTCTACTTCCTGCTGTTCTTTAGTGAATTTCAGAAGTTAATGGATTACACTAGTTTGAGCAGCTTTCACAGAAGAGCATTGGCATAGTGGTACGAAATGCCGGAGGGTTGGAATTCCAGAAAATCTCTTTTAATCACTAATGGGTTACAGTAAGGAATTCTTCCATGTTGCAGCGATGTAGTCGGCCGAGAAAGTGGTTTGAAATTTTGCTTTGCGAACAGCAGGGGCAGGGACATTCTGTTTTAGTCAGAGCAGAATACGGTCGTAATGCCTCATGCAAGTAATGCGATTCGCCTTAACCCACGTGATAGTTGACTATATATGATAATCGGCATAATGTGCAACCCCAAGAAAATCACTAGAGTACTTACTAATACAGTACAACTAGATGCCTGTTTCAGTTTTCAGCACCCATGTATACAGCCTACAACAGCAAGACAATTTTACGTAGTGCCTACAGGGCGAAACATTAAGACAGGAGGATTTTTGACGGTACCGCGGGTTTCCTGCACAATTCTTGCTTAGCGTGTAGCAGAACTCTGAGAGTTTGAGGCGCTTAAACCTCAGTGAAGCGGGTGAGTGATGTCTTGCCACATTCTTTCAGAACTACATACTGTTATAAACAGTCTGCACCATGATTTTTGTCATAAGACCATACTTCAGCTATCAGAATCTGCGACTGCCGTAATACATTGCCTCAGGAGTGCAAAATCATTTCTCCTTACGATTCTAAAATAGAGTGGAGAAGTATCAGCTGGCATTATACATCTTAAAAGCCTCCAACGCAAAGCAAACGGGGTTTCGACGATGGGTGGAAGTTAGCCTTATGAAAGATACCATATTGCAACTCTAACTCCCCACGATAGGTCGCGAGCGCGTGAATACTTATATGACATGCCAAAATATAGGAAAACTGAATTTCCTTAGCCTTTAAAACGTGAACTCTAAACGGTTGCAATGACAATCAATTCTTTATACACTTCCTTGTGGCTTTTTGAACAGTTCTTTCTAAAATGACACTACAGAAAAACGGAAAGATCGGAAGGCACCGTGCTGAAGAAAGTAGGACCACATCGTTTGATGCAACCGTATACCTTTGAACGGAGAATAAGTATGACGATTAACGCGTTGGGCTGAATTCAAGTCAGAGAAACCCGATGCAGAACACAATGGAATGAAGCGGAGGGG